TGACCAGTACCGGTATTTCATTTTCCTATATCGCTTTAAGAACATCTGACTGAACTTAGCTATTCTTTCTGTCCTTCTTACTGAAAATGCCAAATGAAAACATCTTTCCTGCATGTTTTCTCCCGTCCATGATCTTGAATACTGTGTAGTTTATCCGATACAGAATTAATGTTCTGACCACAAATAGCGACTTTCGTTTGACCAGTATTTCACTTATCTGACTCATATATACCACTCACTGAACTGTGGCATGCTCTCTGTATTCCAAATAGCTTCCTAATGAAAAAAAAAAACGTACAAAAAAAGAAAAAGAAAACTTTCCTGTTTTCTGCTAGCCATGATATATTTTGTTAAAGTGACAGAGTGTTACCGCTGGCATGTGGTTTGACCGTCGTTTAACTTCAGTCCTCATGATAAACAAGGTTGAGAGTTCGAATCCTTGTCCGGTACTACAGCGTTCTCGGATGTGGCACTTAGATTTTAATTATGTTTGCATCCGTACAATTGTGTTTATTCAATATTTGATATTTTCGTAATAATTGTATGCATCATATTCTAATGATAAGAATGTAATAACTTAATCTCAAGTCCTTCTTTTCATTTTATGTATGTATTGCTCCGATGTACATTCAAACATGGACAATTTGTTTGACTAACATTGATAGAGAGGTGAAGCATTTACTCATGCATTTGCATTATATAAAATCATGAAAAGCAGCCGTATCCGGACACCTAACCCCTGGACAACCACCCCCAGATAACCACCCCAAGGATAACCACCATCTTGAACAACTACCCCCTAGGGCAACCACCGTCTCTAGGACGACTACCCCCGGGACAATTACCCTCTAGGATGATTACCTCCCCAGCTCACTATACCCTAGGACAACCTAAGTTATCCAGGGGGAAGTGTCCTAGAACCCAAGCAGAATATACATAATATAGATTTTGCGTAATTCAACCCTTTTATTCAAAGTAGTCTCTCTCGACCCTAGTGTAGTAACTTGGTACTTAGTAAGGGAAGGCATTCCTTGACTATTGAAGCGCCTTGATCACCCTGTTCTGCAGTATTGTGAACGATGTGTGTCTAATGTGTAGAGCTGTGGTCACGTACCCGTCGTGATGCGTCGGTTCCCAGGTTCGAAAACCCAAACCAAGGATATATTGCAGGGAGGGGATGGGGCACAGTTTCCCCTTAAACGTTTGTTTTCATGGGTTTGGTATTGGTTTAATAGGTGAATCTTCTACTGTGTTTACTTCACTGAAAATCTATATGTTTGTTTGTTAGCATCATACGAGGGATTGTAGCGACTAACCGAGAATATTTACGATTTTTATAAACTAAAATGTTACATTCTCATGCTTGATACGTGTAGAGCACACTAGAGCATACATTGGAATATGTAGCATGATGCTATTTCGTCTTCTTGGCAACTTTACAACATTTTCGGGAGACGATACCACTTGTTTCCTACTTTTATTTGAGGGGAACGTGCCCCCACAACCTTGACCCTCTATCATTTAACTGACATCAGATGAGCAAAAGATCTGGTGAAATTTATTCCGGTATCATTTATATTTGAACTTTAATGATTATCTAAATATATTTTTGGCAAAAATAACAGGAAGTTACACTCGGAAACCTGGCACCTTATTGTAGTTTAAAGCTATAGAAAGACAACACATGCCAATATGCTATATAAAAGCTTATCTCAAACAGCAATGTTACTTGGTTAGTCTTATCTGATTGTTTCCATTGGTAGATGTAACACTGTGGTATGCAAAGGGTGTAATCTATATCTCATAACGATAACCTTTAAGGTGCACAATTATTAATTGTCTCATTTAATTCATGACTTTCTTTAATGGATTATATTCGGAAGTTTCGCTGTATATCAACTTAATATATTCCATGACCAAGATGACTAGGTAAACAAACTTTTTGTTCACAATAATTTTAATGATACTGGTTGATGCCGGCAATTTCCTTTCTTCTACTTTGCTCATGCTTCTAATGTCTCTGTTATTCACCCCTTACGCTCCTCATCCTTAATCACAGTAGTTGTCCCAAGGAAGAAGGAGGAAGCACAGTGTCCCCCTTTCCTGGCCAAAAAAAGTCTTGTACACTCTTTTCAGCATGTGCCACACCACCCAGTTTCAAGACCCCCCTCTTTTCTTCTATGGTACTTTGGACAATGTGCCCCCCCCCCTCCCGAAAAACCCTGGATCCACCAAAAAACATTCCTTTATATACTTGCAAATATTTTTCCTTCTCATTCACAGTTATGTTTGAATAACAAAACAACAAAAAACAAAAACAAAAAGCACTCATGCACTTGCTTCCACAACAAAACAAAAATAAAGTTCTAGATTTAGTTCAGTATCTTCATTCATATAATTATTTCTATTTAAAGATTCAAAGATTTCAAATTTATTCATGTTTCCAACAAAACATTACAAATCAATTATAAGCATTTCAAACAAATTTAAGAAATACATGTTGGAAACAGAGGGGTCCACTAAAAAGCAATGCTTGTACAAATGTGAACACCTCAAATGAAACTTAGGAATAATGAGTAATTACATTAACTAATTTGTAACTACAAAAAAAAAACACTTTCCACGATTAAGGAAGATTTAATAGCAAAATTTGGTGTCATCTTATTAATTTCCAATTGCTCGAAACCCATTCTTTAAAACTCTTGACAAGATTTTAGAGCTCCTTCAGTGTCAACAGTTATGATGTACTTTACAGATATTTCTGAGAAATAAACGTTAATCTTAATATGTTTGTGTAACTACCTGAATGAACTAGTGATTAAAATTAATCTCATTCCTTCCATTGATCTCTTTTCTCAACAGAAATCCTTTAGTACCAAACCAAATCTCAATCATATCTAAGTAGAGAGCTGGTGGCGTTACTTTTAATAAATGTAATGCCTTTGAAGTAATCCTTCCACTTTTCTAGTCAAATATCTAAAATCGTTTATCCACTTCATCATTCATTCTCCATATATAAGTCTTTTCATCCACATAATCTTCTGTACACGATTGAATAGTTTAAAATCTACCATTCTAAGTCCTTCTTTATCATTAAGTGATAAAGAAGGACTGGCCTTGGTGGAAATCAATCGGTTGAAGAAGAAAAAAAGCGGGTTTCGTGAGCATGGTCATGTCGCTAGAGGGGGTTGTCGAAACATTTGTTCACCGTTTTGTTAAGTTTACAAATCCTCCTTCGTAAGGTTGGATATACTGTATATAAATGGCTATTGCGTTTTGTTTTTTTAAATCATTTACCGGGAGTTTATTGATATGGATTTTAAAACTGTCGAACGACATACCTGGTGCAAATACTTTTTCAAAACTATACCAAAATTAAGGGCCGCAAAACGGCGAGTGGTAAAACTCGCCAAAGGCGCCAAGTTTAAGACTTCTCCAATTTTACAAGGCGCCGCGGCGCGCCGTTGTGAGTTTTAATGACTCGTCTTCTCATGTTAAACAATGCTCATCGATACTTTAACAAGTCGCCTTCTTAACTAAACAAGGAACCTTGGCGACATTTAACAAGTCACCTTCTCGACTAAACAAGGAACCTTGGCGACATTTAACAAGTCGCCTTCTTGTCTTATTGAAGGCGCCTCAGTGAGTTTTAACTATATGCCTTCTCACCTTCCTGGCCTTATACAATGCGCTTTGGCGAGGTAAAAAAAAATAATTTTGCGATTGAAATGATAAAAATGTACTCGTGTACCCTATTTCCTCTGACTTTTTGTATTTCTTAATTTGTTTAAACCTCTGACATTTTACCTGGGACTAGTATGCAAACAGTTTAATATACTATGTCCCTTTTGCAGCTGAATTAAATTCTGATTTTATGTCTTTATAAACGTGTTTTTAGGTATTATGCTATATTATTGTTCTATATCATAATATGTGTATCATTTTTTTAATTTCTTCTATGTTTATCATCTTTCAAGTGTAATGTTTTTTGTTTAATTGTACAGACAGGGTCCCTTGGAAGATTAATACTCTTTATTGAAAGGGTCACCCTGTATGTATGTATGATACTGAAATGAAATAATGAATGAATAAATAGACAAATAAACAAATAAATGAATAAAAAAAATCAATCGATCAACCAATCTAGGTGAAAGCTCTTTAATCTTTGTTAACATATTTATGAAAGCCTCACCATGAACTTTGTCAAGTCATGCAGTTATTTAAATTTCTATAAATAGTTTCATTTTCTGTCGTGGGGAGTGGTGTCCATTTAAACCGAATTATTTATTTCTTTGGGGGTGGGGGGGCTATTACTCAGATGCAGGCTTGTGGCCCACTACCACTCACGTCATAACGCCCCTTTAAATAATACACCTTTCACTTGTTTACAATTTAACCTTGTCATGTGCATAAAAGCATTGTCGACCATGTTGCCAATATAATAGTAATCAGTTGCTGCTTGTATTGGAACCGATTTTCTCTTATAACTAAACATGCGCATGGAGTATGTAAAATAGCCATTATAATATTAAAATGCTCTCTTGCGAATATTGGAGGTGTCGAACTGTGAAAGAGGAGAAAGATTGAATAATTTAAGGATCAACCATGGCAAACGGGTAGCAGGTACGAACAAAAGAAGGGAGGAATACGAGGTAGGAGGTCGAACAACATCACCAACACGGTAGGAAGCGGATTAGCTATTATAGAAACATAAAACCCCATATAAAACAAAATCGATGGAAGCCCGTATTCTTTGAAAATGAAGCATTTGCCGTCACCCCATCCGCATTGCTATCATCAGGTTATTGCCTTCTATATATTGCTCCTAATTAGACTAGTCTTTCATTAAACGCTGCAAGACAACAATTTCGACGTCAACCGGGCCATGGATCACTTTCCAAACAGATATCACGTGTCTAATCGATGATGACATATGCCAATTACCATTTTGATGTCGCTAGGTGTATCTCTTTCAACAAATGGAATGTATAAGTTACGTTTGCGATAGGATACGATTTCACCCCACCCTCTTCCCCCCTCTATGCAAATAATGAATGCGTCCATGGCATGCCCATTCTCTCTAATCATTGCTTTTGCCTTGATTATCGAACCGTGACAAGAAAGGCTGGCTCCGGTGTGACGTCTTCAGTGAAAAATGGCTTGAACAGTGAACAGAGTAAAGGGCAATAGACACACTGGATTATCGTGTTAACTGTCAGTAGGCTATCTATACTCATCAGTTACCGCCAGGAGTTGCGGCGTGTTTCCTATACCTGACCCTGGACATAATATCAGAAGTACTGTTGCTACCAAGGAGGTGTTTTGACGGAAGTGTGACTACTTCTTTTGCCGGAGTTTCTTCAAGATCTTTGGGAGCTTTGGATTTTTATAAAAGTTGATTACTTCTTCTCTTTGCTACGATGCCTCGGTTAACGACTGCAAGTCGCAAGGAAAAGGTGACAGATGTTTTCAAGATGAAGCATACCATTGGCAGGTAAAAAGCATCACTGAAACAAACATATTTACTGCTATTTTTATTGAGCTACTATGGGGTGTTTGAAAACTGGATAAAAGGCAATAATATGCCTTTCTTATCTGATACAGCACGAATTTACATTATCCTTTTTTGAAAATGCCTTTCCTGTAAGGCAGCTGATCGGTTGGTAAAAATATATAGGCCTACTTCCATTATAATGTTCATGCAACTACAATACATATTTGTGTGAGATTTTCTTTCCCTTTTTGTGTCATTGTTTAATTTTATGTGTGTGATGATGATGATAGTGGTGATGGTGATGATGGTAACGGTGCTGATCGATGACGACGGTATAATGATGATGGGGTTGACGATGACGATGTTGTACTGCAGTTTATTTTCGCATAATTTTGATTTTTCTATAAATGTATATGATTCGGATAACATAATTGGAAAACTTGTCCACAACTCTCTTATTGACTCATAATTTAGGATCATCGTATATAACCCCCTTTATCATCACCACCACCACAATCATCATTATCGTCGTCATCATGCATCATCATCATTATCATCATCATCATCATCATCGTCGTCGTCATCATCATCGTCATCATTATCGTCATCATCATCTTCATTATCCCCACCGTTACCACCTCTTTCCCCATCATCTCAACGTCTTTATCATTGTCATCATGATCGTTGTCTTCGTCATCACCGCCATTATCATCACCACCATTATCATCACCACCATCAGTATATGCTCCAATGCTATCTTTAGCGGTACATGTATATGGATAGACACTTCGAGATAATTAAGTGCCATGATTTTATCGAGCTCCCACTGTTTATTACAACGCGCTTCGCTTGGTGTTCATCAAAGCATACTTCATACATAATTACGATCGATTTATAAAATGAGATAATTAATATCATCTTGAGAAATTACGGGTACACACGGAATTGCATCTAATTTTAATTCAACCAATCGTACCAGCTTGTGTTTCGTATGCACAAGGGGGTAATTATGTTCTTCAATTTCTCTTAAGATTACGTAATTATCCTGGTACTATACGGCTACAACGTACCAGTGCAATTATGTAATTAGCCTTTGGATATGCTGGAACTTCATACTTGCAAATTCATCCTTGCATATTCATCATATGTGATGACAAGCATTAAACATTGATGTCTTGGCTAATGTCTTGTAAAATGATTTTATATCGCGTTAAAATTGATGATATACCAGTGAAAATACGATGATATCTTAAAAATACAGCGATCGTTTTATATTACATTTCATATCTTCGTGACGGTCTAGTACCAGGCTCCCTCTAAAAACTAAATGTTGAATCACCATTATAGAAGGCCGAGAAGTGACCACTTTTTTTCATCAAAATGTTTGATTAATAAGGCATCATAAATTCATCCTTTATAGTGTTGAATTCGGCATGTTTAGAACATGATTCTACTGTTTTGTAAAAGTGCTCAATACTCTGCCCTTTTAAATGGTAATTTAACACTTTAGCTTTTAAGAATTGTTAAGAGTTCTGATTCTTTCAGGGCCCTCCATTGTCATGAATGTTATGCTTATTCCCCTATTTTTGTGCTTGCTTGCTTGCTTATTAGAGATAGTTTTTATGAATGGAAAAAAAAAAATCCCCTTTAAAAAAAACTTTGTATTAATCAATCTTTTCCTAATTGTTTCCACCTGATGTGTATTTAGGTGACTTAACTTTATCTTTAAAGGCAGGGCAAACTAAGTTGGAATCAAACTTAATGGTTTAATTTTGGAATTTCTTCTTATTTACTCCTCCAGATCTGAATATTCTATATGGTTTTAGAGATTATATTCAACATTTGTCATTGAGAATGAACATTAATTTGTTATCTATATTTCAAGACTTAACTTTGATTTATCATCTAATAATTTCAGGGATTGTTGTTCACAAAATCTACTGTAATTAACTTTACGGTATGACATATGCCAATACAAATATTTATATACAAATTTGACAACATTTCTATATTTGTAACTTCATGGATAATTCCTCAGCTTCATGTTATCTGGCGCCATCTGTATTGGATAACTATGTATGTCATCTGCTGGAAATAAATCATAATAATAATGTGGGTTTTTTTTACATTAGACGCACAGATTTTGATTTACTTGATATTTTCGGTAGGTAACGATATAATTTATCTTTCCATGCATGTATGAATGCATGATTGAAAGGAAGAACGTTATTAAATTTGACTGAAACACAGTAGATGTGCTGTGTTGAAATTACAAGCATACAAATGTGTGTATGTTAAAGGACACAACTTAGATACCGAAGGTTGAGACACTTTTTCAAAATATGTAACAAACAGAAAGTTTCTTTCTCTTTGACCATTCATCATAATTATTAGCAGTCAGTTGGGTGGGGGGGGGGTCAGTCTCCCTTATCCATGCCGCACCACTACATTTAGTGCATTAAGGGTGATATAACGTGTTTTTAAATGAATTATTACTGGTGTTTGTCTGCCCGTTTACAGCGTGCCAATCTTGTGTGTACATCTTGTTTACTTCAGTTTGTTTTGTTCTGATTATGTGATGTATTCAGTTTTATTGTACTGAGTATACTTTCGGAAATACGCCTGACAAGTTTTTAGCAAAATTTTTAGTAGTTTCCATTTTCTTTAATCACATACGTCGGTACAAATTGTGTATATTCCACATTGAATAATATCATTGTCATTTTTCTACGATTTAGAAAAAGTATAAATTGAACCATTGAACCATCATTTCCCAGTGAGAGGAAAGGTGCTTAGAGAGTGACCCTCAAGTAATTTCCATAAAATGTACCACGTGCTCTATTTGTAGCCTTACGTTGGCTGGTAGGGGGGGGGCGGCAATAAATATGGGTACCCTTCATTTTTTCACCACTCCCTCTAATTTAGGGCAACTCTGCACGCTAGGATTGGTGGTGACGTAGGTGCCCCCTATTTAGACCCGCTACCACTGGCGGATCTGGGAAGGGGGGTACGGGGGCACGTGGCCACTGCAGAACTCAATTAGACATGCATTTTATTACTTAAACAATGTCAGTTTGCCCTTGAATTGTGTCCCTAATCGTGTCTCTCCGTCAACATTTTCACAACAAAGAGCTTCAGAGCATGCCATACTCAAGTTCCTCATGTTTACCCCCACAAAATTTTGGAGTAAAAAATGACCCAGACCATACAGATGAGAGACCCCTCCCTGTTTTCGCATGCTATAAATACTACTTGTGCCCCCCCCCCTTCAGCAAGAAAATCCTGGATCCGCCACTTTGAACAATGTCATCTGCTTTCCCTCCCACTCCCAGTCTTAAAATAAATCGGCGCCCCTGTTTCCTAGGTACTTACAGGAAAAGGCAATTAAAAAATTAAGGAGTAAGAAGGGAGCGTGGGAGTTAAATGGATGGAGGTGATGTATAGATAGATAGATACAGATGGAGAATATATAGGTACCTGGTAAATTATACAGTACCTTTCATGTAGTGAGCTGTAAGCCCATTAGAAAAGCTAGGTTAATAATTATCAAAAATGTAAACAAACCAAAACAAGCAAACAAAGAATTCATCGCTCCATTTGTGATATCTGCCTCATACGTATAAAAAACAATGAAATAATTTAAGCAGGGGAATACATAAATGAGTTTTATATTTAAAGTCATTTAGAGTATATTTCTATATAAATAGATAATCCATAAGGAATATATCCATTCATGTTTAGTGATTTGTACTTGGAAATTAAAATAACGATCAGATTTCAAAGTCAGAATCAACAGTTGAAATGACGAGAGAGAGAGAGAGAGAGAAAAAAACGCAATGTATATAAGCCTTTCTTACTCTATAAATGGTAAAAGATTCAATATATAGCATTAGTTTTACGTAATCTTTGACATCAAACAAGTTCGACGTGTATGGATGAAAGAAACTCACTTTGATAAATACTCTAAACATGTAAATATAAATCGGTGGTATTATGAAAAACCACTAGATTATTCCTAACAAATATCTTTTTTCCCACGCCCTCATTTGTTTATAAATCTACTCGGCTAATTGGACTAATCTACTATTTGTATTGGGTAAAAAATTGAAATATATAATTTAGTATTTTTAAATGTAAAATATGATCAAAGTAAATTGAACATTTTGAAATACAAATTGATAAAGCATCTATTTATTAATCAGATAATTTTATCGGAAAAAGGGTAGTTTTGTCCTTGCATCTCAACGGAAATATCAAAATGACCTACATGAAAAATAGACGCGTCCTTTTCCCTCTTCCTCAACACGCGTCTATAGCGACGCAGCAGTGCGGATGCATGCCCACCGTACCGCTGAAAGATTGAGCTCAGCTAGCTACACCTTGTATGCAATGTTCTGATTTCAGTAGCTATTTGTAACAGCCGGTAGGTTTTGCGAGGAAACATAGCTGCTGGATTGGATAAATTTACCAAATACTATACTGTAATAGGAAAGTGGAGGTTTAACCGAGCTTCATTCCAAGAGAGTCTTGGATTAATCATAATTAGTTGTTCTTTGAAGCGAGCTTGATCCAAATATCACAGCCACCATGCCCCTCTTCACGAAAAGGCGAAAAGAAAAGGTGTCGGATATTTACGATTTGAAGCACACGATTGGAACGTAAGTATCGCAAATCATAATCATATGCACTATTGCATTGACGATTGAACGGGTGTGTTCAATATTTGTACAGACAATGTATTCTACTCGGTATTTGAACACCACTCTGTGATTTCATCTCCTTAGCCGTGATGTTTTTGCGATGCCAGATTGCTTTATCTTGTACTTAGCGAAGCGTGCAGAAGACTTGTCTGTATTCTGTAAACTGATTACAACGTATATTTTCATTTTTTATTGAACTGTTGAGATTTGCTAAAGACATGTATGTTTTTGAACAAAAAATGATATTCATTTATTAGTTTGATGTTCAGTGCACTTGAAAGGGATGATGGTAGTGATGATAATGCATGATGGTGATGGTGAATTGGTGATGATGTTGATAACCATGGTGATGATGATGGTGATGAAAACTTGGTGATGATGATGATGCTGATAATGATGACGATGATGACGATGATGATGATGGTGATGATGATGATGTTGCTAATGATGGTGATGATGATCATGTTGATAACCATGGTGATGATGATGCTGATAATGATGGTGATGATGATGTTGATAAGGATGGTGATGGTGATGGTGATGATGATGTTGATAATGATGGTGATGATATTGATAATGATGGTGATGATGATGATGATAACGATGCTAGTGGTGGTGAGGGTGGTGATGATGATTATGAAGATGGCGACTAGATTTAAGGGCTTGTTTACACATATAAATGCAAATGTTCTGCACTTTACAAGTGTGCATTTTGTGTCGATTCATATTTTAGTAATACACACATAATATATATACGGCTGTAGATAGGCCTACTATACATGTATATGTAGTGCAAAGAATTGACAACCAGAAATAGTGTGTAGTGCTGTAGTCCCACTGCTTATAATATGATGTGGGCATTTTAGGTAATATGAGACATACAATACCAGCATGTCTATTCATGAAAAAAAAAATGCAGGAAATATATGGTTACAAAAGCTATACATGTTAATGGGATACAGTATACACACTTTCAAGTTCTAAAGCATTCATGATTGATGACCATTGCAAGTAAACTTGGACCTAAAATGTATTATTCCATTCATGTAATGCGAATGCCTATACATGTATGTTTAAAATCTTAAAATCCATCCTATTTATAAGTAGTGTTGGCTATTAGCTTGACAGTAACTTATCAGTTAAAACATTTCTTGAATAATTGAACTGTTAGGCCAAAGGAAATAATGCTACGGCAGTGCGATTGTCCGAAGCAATATAGTGATACCGTTGGGAGTTGAGGGCACATAAATCTCACAAACATGGTTTTGAAAGTAGTTGAATTGTTTCTTATGTTATAGAATGGAAGAAATGCATCCATGAGAATTTGAATTATATCAATGTTCAATATTTATTTTTAAAAAGGGATTTTTTTCTTTCTATTTTTCTAAAATAAATCTATTATTACTGAGGTATAAATAGCTAAATAAAATGATCTAAAATCATAGTTATCTTTCTCAATTATTTCTCAATATTTTTATTTTGGAGGGCTTCCATGAGACTAAATACATATCCAGAATATGCTGCTTTTCACGATCTTCTAAGATCCATGTAGAATACAAGTACTAATCATTTATAATGAAAACTTTCAAATTCCATTACCATTGCCCTCACCATGGTGTAGGTACATGCATTTCACACTCTTGTTTATAAGAATAATTCACTTGTGAAAAACAAGAGGTGAAGTTTTTTGGTCGAAAATTGAAAACAAATGATACTCAATGTAATGTAGGCTATATACATGTAAATGCACAGGTGTTATGTTAATTGTAATTGGGGAGAGGGGGGGGGGGGAAGTATTTTGTAATTCATAAACAAGCATACAAGCTGCAGTGCTTAATGCAAACATGTCTGTACAGGTTAGCCTTTTATAGATGACTATCTAAACTCTAGCTACATGTACTAATATTTGCTTACATTACAAGCAAAACTTCACAACAAACCAAACAAAAACACTGCATTTCAAATGGAATTTGAAATATTTCTGGGGCATTCCTGAGTTAATGCTGTTGGATTGTACAATACATGTAAGAATTGAGTTCACAGGTTTAATTGAATCTACTTCTAGATTATATGAATTTAACTTCAAAGTTTTAAATTTCAGTGAGCCTTTTATGAGGTTCAAAAAATGGAAGTATTTTGTGGAAGGCACTGTGTAGGTCCTACATTTCCGTAGACCAAATAAAAGCTACATAATTACAATCCAGACGCTTTTTATTCAAGATAGGTACTATTATTCAAATGTAAGTGCCCTGTAAAATATGGTGATGTTTCATCTGTATAATACAATGCAGATCGGTGCAATTGAATTAAGATTTACAAATACTACAACAATTGTACAAGTATAGCTCATAAATCTGTAGCAATCAAAATATGTCAGAAGAGAACATTTATTGGCAGTCATCAACCCTTTGTCTTTCTTTGCCTTTCTGCATAGTTGCTTGTTTGCCACTCCAGCATTTTTGCATGAAACAATAGGCACCGATTGACTTTGTGCAACACAATGGCTTTGCAAAATTACCAATTTCTGGTTTTGATCAGCTCCATGAATATACTTTTAACACCAGTAGAGATAAATCCTGCACTGAAAACAGTCAGATAGTAGTAGTGCCTTTTTTATTTAATACAACATGGTACAGAGAGATTATTTGTGTGGCATATAAAGAATTAATTCTCATATGATTCAGGCACGAATAGTCAATTTTGACCGAATTGTCTTAAAACATAGTCTACACGTACCAACAACATTATGAATTTACTACAACTTTTATGATATACATGTATTGGATATCATTTTGCAGATTGCTTTTCATGCATTCTTTAAAAATGTATTATGAATGAGATATTTGCTAGCTACTGCACACCTGTACATGCATGAAATAGAATTAAATAAATTAATTAATGAAAGCAGGCCTTCAATTTTTAAATTTTGTATAGATATTTGAGAAAAAATGACTGATATGTCATACACTTTTATTCTTTTTTTAGTTGAGCATGAAAAAACATGAAAACTTGATCATGCGACGACACTGCTCTAACTTATGAAGAAAAGAAAAAAAATCAGCTTTTTAGAACAGAATCTCTCTCTGTGTGGTAAACAGCTGGCAAAAAGCCTAGTATGCGTACATACATACACAAAAATTATATTGTGTGCACTACTACTCTACAAGGGGTTTTGATAAGGTCATGGAGGTCAATGATTTTGAGTTGTTTGTAATACCAAGATGTTTACAAATAGCATTTAGTGCCTTTTGTATTCCGTTTTTTCTTCTTTTGGATGCATGAATACACATATTTGTATACAACTCTGCAAATGCACAATCGATCAGTGTCTGTTATTTGACCTGATTAAGTAAATTGTAAATACATTTTTTTTCTTCCCCCTCTGAAGTGCATGCAAATTATTGATTTGTAAATGTTCAATGTATTCACAAATGAAAGATGGATATGTGTAGAAGTGTATAGGTAGTGCGAGTAGTCCAGAGTTGTTTTAAGGTTGATGATATATCATTTCAAGAGGAAAGTGTTGTACAAATAATGAACGCATACGTGATGTATTGTGAATGTGTTCAAGTGAATAGCAGGTTATGATGAATGGCAATTCAAGATGATGATGATGACGAAAAAGAAATAATATCTTAGGCACAGTAGGACCTCGCAGGCTCCTCCGATAAAGTCATTATTATTATTTTCACATTTGCTGAAATGGGTTTTGAGGCATATACTTTGAAGTGTTTTTGTGTGGATGCAAGTATTTTACACAGATCGTAGCAAAGTTGATATCGTTTGTACAGTACATTCACAGTGCTATAGGTTAATTATTTCTCTGAATGTACATCCAGGTCAATCCCAGGCAGTACTAGGTCCTGTGGAATGCAGACTATGGTCAAGTAGTCAACATCTAATTTTCTCTTCATTACTATTGTGACTCATTGCTTACTGCTGGCTGTATTCACATTGTTGAGTTTAACCCTGTGATGGAGTAATGTAGCCAGTGATTTCTTTTCTCTATTACTACATGACTCATTGCTTAGCTGTGTTCACACTTTTTAATGTACCCTATGGTTGTGTAATGTGAATGAGGAATTTTCTCTTTGTTACATCATATCCCTTACAACTACATATATACATTTCTGAATTTGCTCCCTGCTTCTTGTTGACTACCGCATTCTCTCATTCCTATCGGCTTGTACATGATCCAACCTGTTCCAGAAAGCATTTAGGTTACCGGTAAACCTGATGTAACAAAACCCTGTATTCTGTATTCACACTGGACAGTTATGATGTTTTCTTCCTTTCTATTGTGAGCCTAATTGCTTTAATACTGCTTTTGTATTCACGTTTGTAATTTAGTTTAACCCCACAGTGAGATGGTTTGAACATGGACCTTCTGCCATAACATACCAAAACCAAATTTTTGCTTCTGCCTTTTCGCAAGAGAAAAATCAATACCATTGACAATAATATTGCTCATTAAACATTTATTGCTATTAGTGTGAATGACACCACATGTATTCTTTCAGATGTATATACAGTGAGCAAAACATTCCATTCTCCATCTGACAAAGGTGATGTTGCTGGCGGCGTTGTGGAGGCAATTCATGCAATTGGCATGTGTGCCGAGCTGCTGACGAGCAATGCATTTCACATCTCGGTTCGATAACAAACACGAATGAAAGGCAATACACTGTCACCATCCTGTAACATCCATCTGTATCGTTGGACGGGTACGGGATCGGATGGCTTTTACCATCCCCCTTCCCCGGCTGATCCAAATGACAGATCCTGTGACCTTAGATTGTTAACTCCCTTGTTATCACAAGCTGAACAAGCCATTGAATTTGTGCAGGGTATTCAGGCATTAGTATTGACAGGGTTACATTCTGGGGGTAGTTAATTTTAGTTTAATTTTTTAGCCTTAAAAATGATGTTATGACAAGTTAAAATAAATGTATGTGCAT